GCATCTAGGTTAACGCAGCAATGGAAATAAACTTAACCACCCTCAAGAGAGCACTTAAACTCTTTAACTATGCTGTAATCCAGTCCCCACTTCATTGACTCCCACCTTCCTGCAATCTTCCTTAATCAAATGTATAAAAGAAACTGCAAAAGTTATTCTCGGGAGCATTTGAGATCTTGCTTCCAGGCAGTTGTTGTCAGTTTGGCTCAAATAAACTCTTATAAAAGTCACTTACAGGTTTGGACATTCTTGTGTTGACATCAGGCTCCCTGGACCTCAAAGAGAAGGAGCCAAGGAAGCACCAGAGCTAAAGGAATAAATCTTGTAAGCTCTGGAAGAGAAGAACCTTGTTTATCATTTGCCCAGTATCTGTAGCACACAGCCTAGGGCAAGCATTCTTGTAGAATGGATAGGTGAACGGGTGGGTGCAGCATCAAGAGCGTAGGTAGCAGCTGGAAGCCTGAGCCCACCAGTGCTTCCCTTTGGGTTGATCTTTCTGCCCCTGGTATCAACGATGCAGCAGAAAAATGGAACAATAATGGGATTAGAGCTCTAGGGAAGTAGATAAGCAACTACCTTCTCCCCTCCCATCAGCCCTGGTGAAGCTGCCCCTTCTTTTCTGTTCCCAGAGTTCTATGTCTAATTGACCTGTCCCAGGCCCACTGCAGCATCTGAGGCACTTCTCCACAGCTTCTCCTAGAGCTTCCTTAAAAAAAGAATCTTCAGACAGGGCTGAGCATAGGCCAACGATGTGTATAGTCACAAAAGCTTATGAAGACTTTAAGAGCGCAAAGCCTTTCTTCCATTTCTTTTGTGTCTCTGCCCATTTCTTCTAACGACTGTACTGCTTGCCCCCAGGGAAAGTGTTATTATGTGTCTGAATGCCTTTCATATATTTGGTCGGGTGGTAAGAAATAGTGTAGCACACTCCAGTTCCTGGTTCCTATGTCGCCAGTAGAAATATGTTTCAGTATCCTTGCCGATGTGTAAAAATCCATTCTTAATAAAGCTATTTACAATCCATTACATATTCCTAAGCCTCTGTCAGTAAACTTCTATTATGATGGTTTCATCACAACCCTAGACTCTTCCAAGACACAGAAATTCTTCAGGGATTGCAAATGCCAATACTAAGTCCAATTCTCATCCTATAGAAGCACAGAGTATCAGGTCACGATTATTTAGCATTTTAACGATTTCGTTCTGAGTCCTAAGAGAATGCTACAGGAGCATAAATTCTTTCTGTGGAACACTTTGGAACTTTTGCCCCATTCTCTTGAACTCTTTGGGATCTTATTCCATAACTGCACAGAGAAAGTCTCAAATAGCCTTTATACTCGAAAGTGGAAGTATGCCATATTGGTTTTTAGAAATTTCGCAGCTTAAGAACATGGTTGGACAGGTTTAGACAAGTGTATATACCTGAGTAAAGAACACCCTGAACAGTTAAGATAAAGAACATTGTTACCAATCTAGAAAGTTCCCACATGTTCCTTGCCAGTTTATCCTCCTCCAGGCAACCACTGTTCTGATTTCTATTTCTCTAGGTTAGTTTTGTCTGTTGAATTTCACATAAATAGAATCATGCAGTAGTTCTCTTGTGGCTGGCTTCTTTTCCTCAATTTAATGGTTTTGAGATTTATGCAAATTGATTCAAGTATCAGTCGTAGTTCCTGTTTAATTGCTAAATTGCATTCCATTGTATGAATTTACCACAATGAGTTTGTCCACAAGAGATGGCTGGTCGGAACATGAGAGTGCTTCAATAAAACAAAATGGAGCAATGCCTGCTCAAATCTGCAATCCACACTTGGCTTTTGCTAATGATTATATCCAGAGTTGAATCTGATTCTCAATCCCTCAGTCCTCAAAAGTATGAAAAAAAGAACACGGGAAGAATAAGAAGCACTTGAAATTCTGAATCTGAGAAGAAAACACAAGGAGACAGACATAGGATGTATTGGGGGTCCTCAGGAAATACTTTCAACATGAACCAAGTTTTCTGTTGGTCCCAGTTCTCGTCAAGGATTGTAAAAAAAGACTAAATTGAATGCCAGCTGAACTCTCCCTCAGTGTTATCTTTCTCTGATCCTCCTCTTTTGTCTCTTTTGGCCACTAATTAAAAAATCTTTTTTTCTTTGTAGACAACCTAAAGGCTTTTTAACTACTCAAGTAGATTTTGCTTGCTTGAGTATTCTGAAAGATAGGTCTCGTTCAGATGAGCATGATGGTGAAGGCGATGGTGTATATATAAGTGTTTTGAGCCCCTTTCTTTGGACCATGTGAAGCATGCATCAGAAAAGCAGGAAGAAATTTTGGAGGAAAAGGTGCGATTTATTATAATTTCTCATCACTGAGAAAATAAAGTGTCCACAGAAAAAGAATATTCTAATAGGTCTTATAAGGGTTTCTTTGGGCTACATATGATTCCTCCTTTAACATATTTAAATCATATCTAGAAAAAATTAGACTAGTTTGCTCTAGTTAGCTGGAAAACCAGAAATCAAACTAGTTCGATCTAATTAGTTAGGGGTCCTCAGGAAACACCATTTCATCTGAGTATGGAGCGAATGATATTAAAAAGACACACACACACAACATTATACAGAGATTACAGAAACTTATTGCAAATACCGTGGGTAAATAATGGTTCCTAGTTAGAGATTAATTGTTGAACCAATGACTATAAGATCAAATTTTTGTTTTATAGTTAGAATATTTTTATAATGTGTCACTCGAGTATTATTCCTTGCATCTCTATTGAAAATGGGGTTGCTAATATTTAGAATTACTTAAACTTCCAGTCTTCACTTCATAGGATTTCCTTAACAGAGCCCATTGTCTTTCTAAAGTTGCTGCTTCAGAGTAGTAGCTACATTTGTAGTTGTCTGAAAAACACTAGAGGTCTCAGTAATGTACTGAATGGAGGCATACAGTCAAAATCATCCAAAATGTACAGTGTAGGTTAGAAGTACTACCAGATATTGTCTTGGGCCTATCCTTAACGAGGACCATATTCAGAGCAGAAATTAATCCAATTTGAAGTTAAAATCTTTATAAGACTTTTCATATTGGGGAAAAAAATTAGAGATACCGTAGATCACAACTGAAGTGCTGATATTGCTAAAACAGAATCTAGTATCTAATTACTACGAATGCAAGTTTTTAATACTATAAATCTTTGAATTTCTACTATCATTGGATCAACTTTCATTGAATAAATTTTTCAACTTATGAGACTAAAAAGCAAGAACAAGCATTTTTTTATATAAGATTATTTGAATGTCCTATAAAATTATAATCATATTTAATGTTGGGAATAAAGTATTATTTGATGTTATTTTGTAATTTTCCTAAATATTTATGAGCCCATGGTATTTTTTACAAGAATATGTCAAGTATTGCTCAAATTGTTCTACTTCTCTTGAAAACCTCTAGGTGTGTTTTAATCAAATCTTGATTGATGTTTATTTTAGTATAAACATATAGTTACTGAGATTTGTGTTTGTATTTTTTTTTTCCCCCATCCTCAATTTTCAGGATATAATGAATGAAAAACAGATATTCTTGTTGGGATACAACCAAGGATTCCTTCCCCCGCCATTGTTTCTTGACCAGGACAAGGGATCTGCCACACGTCTGCTTGGGAGAACCACCCACCTTTCTTCACATAAAATGCAGTCTGGAGTTTCCAGGAAGAAAGCATATCTAATCACTGGATACTGTGCTCCCAGGTGGGCAGGCGATGCTATCCTCCCAGCCACTGATGAGCTCCCCACTCCCCACTCCCCACCAAGGTCAGCTGCTCTACCCCATTTCCCCCCTGCTGTGTGAATCACCGCTGAGTCCCAGAGTAGGAACACGTTATCATCCACAGAAACACAAAACAGACTCGCTTTTCCATTATGCTTGATTCTGTAATGAAAGCTCTAGGAAGTGAGCGTTACATGAACTCACTCCTCCCACCTCAGCAGACAGATGGGTAGACATTCCAGTTTGTTTCCAGTCTTTTGTCTTCGGAGCATTTTTGGCATTTCCTTCAGGAAACTGGAGGTTGTGACCTAAGGTTTCCTTAGTGAACACACTTCTGTTTCCCACAGTTAACCTTACCCAGAAATGACATCTACTCTATTAGGTGAGGTTTATCTCCATGTCACAACTGTGTCCTGTGCATATTCAATGACACTTGAAAGCACAAATTCTGAAATAACAATAGCACCGGGGAGCCAAATGCACCAAAATACTTAGATTTAATTCCCGACGAAGATGACAATAAAATCAAAACAAGTATTCACTATTACGATAATTCTGTGATACATGCGAAGTGCCCTTGCTCTCATTTTATAGTTGGAGAAATTAATGGTTAGATATTAACGCTTTCAGATACTATGAACTGAAAGTTTTCAGATAAAAGGTGTATACAACTCAGCCTATATCCTACAACTTGCTACTTCGATAGTTCCATATTGTTCAGAGGGTAAGCTGGGAGAAACCAAGACAGCATCCTGAAAAAAATTACATGATTTAATATTATCTCCTGTTTCCATATCCCCAGCGTGTTGGTGGAAAAAGCCAAGAAGGTAAGCTTTTGTAGATAGGTCTGAACTGACCATTGAGTTTCATAATTTAAATTAGATTTATGACCACATTGTTCTGTGTTAATTCTTTCAAACCCATGTTTTAGGATAGAATTACTGTATTTTATTGTTTGGCTTGAATGTGATTTAAAGCTCGAACGATGATATTTCCTTGCCGATGTAGTATTTAGAGGTTGGTGGTTTTTATCTCATTCTTTACTATTCTTCGATGTTTACATATTGAAGTTTCTCTTCCTGAAAAAGAGTGGTTTCTAAACAAACCACATTTTTTTTTCACACCCTAGTTTAGCGAGGTAAAATCCTTTAAACGATAAGATATTTGCCCTTAATTTTGATTCTAAAGAGCCACATAGTCAAATAGAATGTCTTAATAATTATTTTTTAATGCTCTTCACAACAAAATCTTTAAAAAAATCAGTTTATTAATGTTTAAAAGTCGATAAAGCTATGTGCAAAATGATCCACAGAAGTCAGAAACCTATTAAATACTATTTTTTAAAAAAGACATTTCTCGGTTTAATTGCACTGAAAACCATACTAAAGAGACAGCAATACATTTTTATTCTTTGTAACATTTATACACATCTTCAGTTAACTATTTAATAAACAGCTGTACTGGAAAACTTCTGGTGTTCCCTATCAGTTAAAGTAATGCTTTAAAGGCATAAGAGGGTGATACTTTCTTAAGAAATACACATTCACTGGTGTTAACACAGGTTAAAAAAAAAATCCAATAAAATGTTGCAACAAATACATTCAAAAACCATGAAAATACTTTTAACACAACAAAATACAACCATCCTGTTGGTTGAAATGATTCACACAACACTCTGAAATAAACATCAACAAAAGTGCCAAAGACAGATGTTGTATTTGTTAGACAAATTTGTTAGGAAATCTTTCTTGGTTTACAAAGTCACCCCCAGTCAGTTTTCACTTTGTGTTGCTTATTTGTTTCTCCTATGACAGACACTAAGATCCTGGCTGATACCATTTAGATAAGCTGGACTTCTTTATGCAGATTTCAGCCACAATGACTATGATATTGTAACACATTGCATTGTAAAGATGTAAAAAAAAAAAAAAGTGACTATAACCAATTCCAAAACACTGACCCAGCTCTCATGGAAACTTTGGCCTCAGCAAATGAAATTGCTTTACATCTCTATCTCCTTACAGTCCACCTCTCCCCGGACACTGCCTATCAGCTATAGAAGATAGAGAAATGGACCATGCCACATAAACGCCCCCCAACCCCAGCTCTGATGAATGCCAGGTAGTTAAAATTTAAAGGAAAAGAATTTCGGTGAGGGCTGTGAAGAGGAAGGGAGGGTAGGATATGGAGCATACCTAGAGAAGCAGAAGTGCACACGCTCACCTGGGTTGGGAACTAAAATGACAGAAAGCCTCTTCTCTTCAAAGCTCCCGACAGAGACACTTTGACAAGGGGACATTAGTCTTTGAGGAGGGGCCAAATGAACCCTCCAGGAGCTTGACAATGCTAGACCTTTGGCTCAGTGCAAAATCAAAGCTCCAGGAGGGAGGAAATAGATTCCCGGCCAGGACCTGCTCTCCACCCTTCCTTTCCCAGTGCATTGTTCACAGGAACTCTACCCAAGACACCGGGCGGGCACCACCGCTAGTTCTTCCTCTGCCCCGCCCTCCCTCCGGCTCCAGCAGCTCCTCCCCGGCAGGAGTCAAGGCAGAGATTTTTTTTCAAACACCGGGGTGGTGGGTGACCATGCAAGAATGCTCCCCATGGGTCCGCAGCTTCCAGTTCTATGAAGAAGAATTGACGTTCCCAGAGGACATTATGGTTTCTGGGTTGTCCCCATCGTCCTTCTGGGGGTGAGAGGAGTTGTCTGACTTACTGCGGCTGAATTCTACACCAGCAATGATGGGTCGCTTGAATTTGCCGGTGGTGTCTCCTCTGGGGCACTTACAGCAGGACATGATCTTGATGAAGGCCCGGCGCATCTCCTTGTTGGTCAAAGTGTAAATGATGGGATTGGTGCCGGAGTTGAGCACCGCCAACACCAGGAAGTACTCCACTTTGAAGAGGATGTCGCAGGTCTTCACCTTACAGCCCACGTCCAGCAGGAGCAGGATGAAAAGCGGCGCCCAGCAGGCGATGAAGACACTCAGGACGATAATCACAGTCTTGAGCAGCGCCAGCGACTTCTCTGAGCTGCGACTGGCCTTGGACGTGTTCTTGCGGAAGGTCAAACGGCGGCTCCGAGTCCTGACCAAAGAGTAGATCCTGCAGTACAGGATGACGATGGAGAGCAAGAGCACGGTGAAGACGGTGGTGCAGAAAAGGATATAGTGCTTGTGGTAGAGGGGCAGCACCGTGGAGCAGCTGGGCAGCAGGCTGATGCAGTTCCAGCCCATGATGGGCAGGCCACCCAGGATGAGGGAGATGATCCAGCAGGCACTGATGAGCAGGAAGGAGCGGGAGCTGTTGCTCTCATTGTGGAGTTTCATCTTCAGCATGGTGATATAGCGCTCAATAGCGATGGCTAGGAGGCTGAACACAGAGGCAGACAGGGCTACAAACATACTCCCTTCCCGCAGAAACCACTGGGCGGGGGTGAGCTTGTAGGTGTTGGCCCCAGAGAAGAGTAGGTTGATGGCGTAAGCCACGCCTGCCAACAGGTCTGAGAGGGCCAGGTTGCCAATAAAATAGTACATGGGTCGGTGGAATTTCTTGGTTTTCCAAATGGTCAGCAAAACAAAGATGTTCTCTAGGATGATAAAGCAGCAGATGAGAATGAACACCACTGAGGTCACTTTAATGCCACTGTCCTTGTCTGTGCCCAGATTCAGCTTTCCCGTGTAGTTGTAATGTCGGACGATGATGTCATAGTTGACATAGTCGGAGACAGAGCTGCGGAGGGCCTTGACCAGCGGGATGCTGGTGGATCCCATGGTGCGCAGTGTCCCCGGGAACCCGGGTGGCGCTTCTCCAGCGAACGCTAGAGGGCGAGACCGAGAGAGCCTTTACTTGCTGCGGTGGGTGCTTCAATGAGAGAAATCCAGGCTTTCCACGTATCTTTTTCTTGGCTGAAGAGGGCCTCGGAAACCGCAGCCTTAAACGAGTTAAGACAGAATCAGGGAAAAAGCCACAGCACACTAGCACAATTCATTCTAGCTAAGGCATTGCTTTAGTTTGTCGATTTTTCAGGAAGTTTAGGGGAGAAGACAGGGAGACAAATTTTTAAAAATAATGAAATTCTCATTTCCTGCAAAAAATAAAATAAAATAAAGGGGAGAAGGGGAAGAGAAGGAGGAAAAACAAAAACAAAAATTCTACCCCAACTGAAAACTGCAACTCGACAAGAAGAAAACTCTCCCTATGGTTACATCCAGACAAATGGAAATGGGAAAAGTGCAGAAGCGAGCCCCATTGAACCCCTCTCCCACCTTCTCACTGTCCCCGTACCCCCAACCCGCCACGTTTGCAGCGGGAGCCTCAGCCCGGGGCTCACCACCAGCTCGCGGGCTCTGCGGAAGAGACCCAGCAGCCAAAACGAGGGTGGAGACACACACCTCTGCCGCCCCTCTCCACCCTGTCACCGCCCAGCCAAAAGAGACCCGAACCACCTCCTAATTGCCATGCAAGAAATTAGATTTGCACGAAAATCATTTGACAGCGTAAGTCATCTGGGGGCTCTATTAATAACTCTGGGAGCAGGTGCGCTTAGGGTCCGAGGGCGCAGCGTGGTGTGGGCAGCCATGCCCGCCCTGGCCTTGCGGTAAACAAGAAAACGTAGCGCCTCGGTAAAGCAACCGCCTTTTTCTTCTTTTTCATGCAAGCCTGTGCAAGAACACATAAAGGTACCCAGCGAAAACCGTTCGTGAGAGATTGCAGTAAATCCCAGACGTTTCGCAGTCATTGATTTTATAAGGAGTATTTTTGGTGACTGTGGGTACAGCCAACACACAAAGAGAAGTTACATTCCTGACTGACGATAACAATACGTGCCACTACATTCCTAATGCGAGTGCAAAACGATCCTGCAGAGGCTCCCATTAAGGCGTGACTGGGGCACTGCTAAGCGAGTTTTACTCACTGTGTCCTTCCCCAACACGCTGCCTCCTCTCGTAGAACTAGAAGTGTGGAGGGAATGCAACGTGGCCCTGGGTAGCAGGAGTCTTCTTGGAAGTTGTGTAAGTGTTCCGAGGTAACGCAGCAATGAGATAAAAGTGGACTAACAGAGGCGAGAGCAATCTCACCAATGCCCAAGACAGCAAAGGCGGCTCGCGCCCAGAAGCTCCCGGTTCCCCCCTCTAATTCACACCCTGCTCGCCGCAGTGCAAATTTAAGCCCTTAACACCCACCTACACCCCGCCCCATATTCTTTGTCTATAGGAGTTCGAAAAATAAGCGCCTTCACTCCGGCCAGCTGCAGCTATTCCCCCACCCCAAGTCGGTTTCACAATTGGGACGTGACTCTTTTTCCAAACTTTAGAAATCCCAAGTGCCCAAGACCAAACCAACAGGGTAGGGCTCCTTAGTAGCTCAGAGATGCACATTTCCAGAGCCCAGAGATGGATGTTTTAGAAGTTTTTGTTTTGCTCTGTTCCGATTTAACGATTCTTTTCTGACACCGAAGCCCTGCGGCCGCGCAGCGCCGCCGAGCCCCTGGCGCGTCTCCTACCTCGCTCAGGCGGGACAAAGTTGCGCTCGGCGAGCTCCGGGTCTCCACTGCGCGCTCGTCATCTTGCTGCTGCCCCCGCCTGACAGCGTCGCTCTCTAAACTTACTCCGGTCGGGGTCTCCTCCCTCCGCAGCCGCAACTCCATTGGCCAGCACCGCTCGCCGCCGCCGAAGTCGCTCAGCGCCGGCTGATGCTTCCTTAAAAGAGACGGCGAGAGGTTAATGCCTCAGTCTCCCACGCCCTCCGCCGGCGTCTGGGCGCCGCCCCCCCGGATCTCGGCTGCTGAGACTCACTATCCAGGAAAGATCTGGGGCAGAAACAAATGAAAGACCCCCCTCCAGCCCCCAACCAACCGCCGGCTACCGAAAAAAAATAAAAAGAGAGAGCGAGAGAGAGAGAAAAGAGGGGGTGGAGCCTGGTGTCCCCCGGACTCTAATGTATAAATCACCGCCCCGCGTCCCGCTGTCCGCGGCTCGGGTTGGTGGAGACCACTCTCCTCGGACTTAGGAAAGAGAGGAGGTCAAGAGCCTTTGGCAATTTTTCTCCTGAAAAGTCCTGTGGGGCCCAAGGACAGCGCGGCGTCTCACAGCGCACCTCCCAGGTTTCCCGCCTCGCAGCCCTTGGAGGACCGGGGTCCCGAGATCGTGGCGGGGAAACAGGAGCCCCGTCGCGCTCCGGGGAACAGGCTGAGAAGGGGCTGCGAGCAGTTTGCGGGAGGCGAGCAGCCGGGGTGGGAGAATGGCTCTGGAGTTTCCTCCGCTTCTGCCCACCTCCACCCCCACCCCCACGCCGCTGCTGCTTCGGAACTTGCGGTTTGAGGGGCAGAAAGTGCCTTTCCCGGGGCGTACGGTGAAATGGGCCAGCGCCGAGTGAGGTGTTGGGCGGGGGTTCCCCTCCTTCAACCGGGCGCCAAGTCAAGCAGTTGCCCCAGATTCTGGCCAGTAGTGAGAGGCCTTCCTTTGAGGAGGTGGGCAGCGGCCTGGGCCTGAGAGATTTTTGAAAACTTGGGCAGCTCAGAAAATTCCAAAGGGGAAGAGCCACCCGGCCTGACCCAGCCCAGTGGAGGGGCGGATGCCCTTCTCTTCATTTCTACTTGGGAGGCGCCCCTAAATCTCAAGGTTAACTTTCCCAATCTTTCCTTTCGATTAGAGGCTACTTAAGAACGTGAAAACGAGAGGCGACTTTGGTCAGCTCTGCCCAAGTGACAAGCTCAGGGCACTTCTGCCCTGCCCTACTGCTACAAAGACGTTTCACCCCGTGCCTGATCACACTGGCTTCCTATCCCTGCAGATGTGAACGCAAAACTCCGTTGTGCAGTTTCAATTGATAGACACACCCTGTACCTGAATGACTCAGAAAGAGGCTGCAGGAATAAACAACAGACCCCTGGCTTCTGCGATCTCATGAGTAGGCAAAAGAAAAAATCAAGTGTCAGTTAATTCACAGCTGTCTGAAAGCCCTCATCAGTGACCCAGCACATACCCACAAATTCAGCAACAGTACAGCAGGACCGTGCCTACAACCTAGAAACAAAAGCCAGGTCCTCTAGACTCTAGGATCAACTCCGATAGGGTTTGAGGACACAAATCATTCAAAGGGGGAGATATATTGAGTCAACCCAGCACAATAAAATGTGGGGACTTGTCAAACTCCACCCCACCCACTAACTTATGGGTTTTCTTTAAAGGGAGAGGAATTAAAGTGGATCACACAACCAGACTCTCTCAGGCAGGTGATAGGATTATCTAATTAAACACTCCTGCTCTGTGAAGCAGGCAGGCATTTTGGGTCATTTTATCCATTGAGGGAAATGCCACTCAGACAGCTTAAATCTCTAGACATCCCAACTAGTGGGCAGCAGAGCTGGGTT